GTAACAATTTTCATCTGATTAATATATAATTATATACATAGAAATGATGTTTTCCTTTTTCCATCACCGAGTGGTTGCGTGGAATACTACATGCCCCACTTGCAATATGCAGGTTCGCGAAAGTGGAACACACCGGTGCCCATTTAGAAAGGAGTGCGCAACGTCGTTCAGCGAACCCGTTTCAGTATATGCGCCGTGAAATAACATCATGCGATATGCTTAAATGATAACACATAAGCTGCGAGGTGGTTCATCGGAAATGCTGGCTCATTTCTCGTCGTAAATTTCGTAGCAGTATACGTATGCACCACAGACGTATCAGGAGTCGGGTGTGTGCCATTCTGCAGAGCCGTGATGTAGCAAGCTTGATGACGATGGGTGTAGGATAATCGTTTGCACGAGGAAAGGAGCGCAGGAGAATGGACATCGCCTCACTAAATCCCTTAAGATTGATGAGGCGCGCGGGATACGACAAGGACATTCGGGGAAAGGTTTCGCGGTATAGTACTGGTAACAGTTCCGTATTGCGTAGCTATCGCTTAAAACCTGCTTATTAACAAAGCCGAAGGCAGCGGTGTAAAGCGGAAGATATGTGGAGAATTGCGCTACTCGCTTAGGTAGTATTCTTATCCTACCTAGATATGTATGGCTGCACAGGAGAGGAATGGTAGTATCAGCATACTTAGCATCAGTACCGCAGGTTATGGCCCGTAATTAGGGCTAGTTTGTTGGGCAGCAACCCACTCGACGTTGGTCAAGTGACGTCCTCACATCACTGATGACGCAACACAAGTTGACTTCCGCTGTCCGAATGACATAACATGGCAAATGCTAACCTTTCCAGCGGTTTAGTCACCCTTCGGTTACCTTAAACGAAACGTGATCCGGGGGGCACGTAGCTTTAAATCCGTCATGATATAGACAAGCCAGTAGTGAAAACAGACTGGGGAACCAGGAGCCAGGTAACGAATACATCAAATGGTTCCGCGCTAGAGCCGAACGCAATACCCGTAACTCAGAATGCCGTACGAAACATAGGCTGTACCTAACTGTATACATGTCAACGTCCTCACTATCTAGCAAGCAGTCCAGCACGTTATCAGCAACTGATTTCAAACGGCTTGTGACCACGGTGATGCACGTTGCACTAACTGCCATGTAAAACGAAGTTTCAGAACGCAAGTCAAGCACCATGAGCAGTGCACCGAATGAAAATGGCCACGAGTACGGTGCAGTTTGTTGTGCAATAGGACATTCTGTTACAACCGCCACGTTGTGTAGTGTCTTCTTACCCTCCGATTTCGGGCATAACGTTCGACGCAGAATCTTTGGAGGAATACTATTACTTGCTTGTGTCACATGGCATTCGTCTGTAAACACATTGTCCGCATGAATCATGACAACGCGATCCAACGTTTTTGTCAAGGACAAATCCTTTCTGTTACCGACCATGCTTGTGTACAACCAGTAGTGCAGGGACACATGTGGAGCGAACGAATTACTCCACTTTGCTCAGTTCTCGAGTTTACTTAAGGCTGGGTGATTGCCCACAGCCGTTTGTTAATTTAGCTTGCTCGTGTATTGAATGGCGTATACAGCCTATTCTGATCTGTTAAAAGGCCGCTTGGTGTTACCGTTTTATAAAAGGCGTCATCTTTCTATCCGCACAGGAACCACCACCTTGCAGCAAAATTCAGATGATTATGATGAAAGCTTGGCTATCATTCGCACTTACTGAGAGAACAAATCACTGATATTAAGATCCAGCTAGGCCACATGAAAATGTGGACGAGGTTCCTCTCTGCTTTGACGTCACCTTGAACTTTGTTAAAAAATAAGGACAGCTACCTTATTTATACGCATCACAGAGGAAAAATCATCCGTCAAGGTAGTTTTGGTTGACAGGCTAATGACCAGCAACTACCAGTAGTCAGTTTTAATGAGAAGATTGCCAACAGAAAGTTGCCTCTAGGGTTCGGTGTCAAGGTCAAATTTAAAGGCTCGATGTACATAAAGAAATTAAGCGAGTGCATGAGCGAAGCTTACACCATGAGTCTGGATAGCTTTATACTCATCATTTCCTTCCTTATTTATATAAAACTCCTTTTGCGCCTTTTTGAGCGAAACACTCAATCGTCAAGTAAAGAAAACAAATTTGGAGTTTGCCATCAACCCCGATGATTAACCAAAAAACATCCACTATTTATTAGGGTCCACAAGGCGTTCAAAATTAAACTGTGAGTCACATGTGTGCATTGGATGACAGAAGTTGAGCACCCATTTACCAAAGCAGGGAAGCAACGTTTGGCTAGTTACACCACTATTTCCAATGGATCGTCCATGCCTGGGCCAAGGTATCGGTCGCAACTGTAGTCCGAGTTTTCACAAAGGCCGGAATCATTAATAAACAGCTGAGCAACCGCCACGAGACTGACTCAGATAATGACAAGAGGAATCCGGACTTGCGTTATGCCGCTATTGCCCAACTGCTAAACACCGACAATGAAGAGAAGGAATTTGTCGGGTTTGTAGATATGGAATGTTTGCAAATGTGCGCTCATATTTCTGTGTTTTATGTGTGTCACAAATGAAGAATATTGACAGTTATTGCTATTGAGTCAACTTAAGTAGGACCTATAAGATTATTTCATTTTGCGTTATGCGGCTTATAATCCGATGCGCCTTATCGTCCAAAAATTACGGTAGTTGGCCAGATAATGATTCACCGAAAATGAGCATGTTTGCTATGCCGTCTTTAAAATAATTGCTTGGCCTCTTACATATGTGTGATTTAGCGCCAGATGTAGGTCAGATTCGGGGAGGATATAACAGGGGTTTTCAAAAACCATGTTTCGAACAAAACCAAGTCCACTACCTCAGGCGTTTAGCTAAGACAAGGGAGCGGTCAATCTTACATGATGCCTGCAGCACCAACCACCCGCCATCTGCTGACAGGAAATGTGTTAACCCCACTCCTATTTTCGTTGCGATTTTTACGCCAAATAATATTTATGCGCTGGGGTGTAGTAAAGTGGTCGTGATCAGACAGCTTCATCCACAAGTTTGGGTACAGGAAGACGCGTTGGTGACAATACCACTGTCATGGTAACATGGTAGTAGACAGATGGTGGCTTGACAAGATTTTATGTGTTGTGCACTTCTTCGTGAATTTGTGATCTTAATCCTATGAACTGCCATGAATGTATAAATGTACATGTGTTCTATGGTATGCACTTAGTAATGTGCATGGGCTTTGTTTTTATTTTTTAATGTCAAGGCTTATACAGGCAATAAACGTATTTTGAAAAGTTACCATTGCTGAGTCATGATATACAGCACCTTAGGGATAATGCAGTCTTCTCATGACACGGTCCAGTAATGGATATATATGAAAGAAATACAAAAGAACAGTTGCGGTGCTCCAATAAAGTGCAGCAAATTTGAGCAGCCCACTGTGAACAAGATTTTACAAAATATTTACATCGCTAACATTTGCGAGTTACAAATAAGGAACAATGAGTATTTTTAAGTTGATGCAGTACGTATCTTGGCAAAAATGCTTTCATACAAATCTAACTAGTTAGCATTTTAGCTACTTTGTTTACAGTGTTCGTTTTCATGCATAAGGTAGCGTGTAACGGCTAAACTATTACGTTACTAAGTGCATTTGAACTCACTTTTGGGAAATATCGCTAGTCCGATATTAACTGTCTAGAAGATGCTTACTAATGGTAAATTATTGGCTGAACCTAATTAATATCTAAAAATATTCTCACATGTTGTATTTTGTGTTCATGCCCATTACCCAGGATAACTTATTTTTGTAGTTGACTTTAATTGTGACGCACATAAAAATGCAAAACAATTGACATGTTCATGTAAAGAAATGTATGTGCTATCAAATTTACGAAATTTATCGCTGAGTCCATTAAAGGATCCTTAAAATATTTTGGAGTAAATCTCATAGATTCTAGAATTCCGTATCCAAATGCGAAGGTAATTACATTGGCAGAAAGTCGAAATGTCAGATATGAAAAGTGCGTGCTACAATGTCTTCACCTCAATATTATGCAGTGCCCAAGTCAACCAGTTTATTCACGTAAGCTGCCAGTACCTTCGAGAGGCTGTTACTTTATATCACTTGGTCAACGAATATAAGGCAACAATGCGTTCTGCGATCTACTGCGCCATATCAATTCCAGACTCGAATATTCCGCCTATGCTGCTGCGATAATCGGGAGTTAAACAGATTTTTGTCAAAAATATTTATCCGTCAGCATTAAAAGATTGTGGGTAGGTAAATCCCCTCATCTTCTCGGTTATCTATGTGTGTTTGCATGTCCAAACTGGGGTTAGCGACGTCAATGCTAATTTGAATAATGCCTTTATTTTGCGAAATTGTTCTTGTCACTCTAATTTTAATTCCACCCTAGCTTGTGTCTACATTTATTAGGTAGAGATAAAATTTTCAACCGGTGTACACACCCGGTTTCACGGTTGTATCTATTTTCCTTTTTGGCTTTGTACGTGCGATTTCCTAATATAAGTTTACTACCAAGTTTGTTATACAGCGACAAAATACCAGAACTTGCCATTTTGTAGTTCCAATGAGCAGATTTGTGTACCATTGAAGCCGTACTCGTGTATTCCAGTGAATGTTCGGATATGTACAAAAACGTTAATCTGTAATTGCATATCACCTTAAGATATTATAATATTTATAACACAACAACATTTACTGAAGGATAATGCTTTAGTACAGAACTACATTGATCAGTAATCTTCATTAGTGTTGCAGCCACAAGCGTACATGAGGGTGCATTTATTCTCACCAATTGCACATTAGGGTTGCGAAATGTAGCAGTAAATGAGTAAAAGCGTCAAACAAAAGGTACAGGATAAAGTAGCCATTATTTTGCAACCAACAAATAGTTTGAATTAAACACGTTGTAAGGGAATCGTTAGACATATTAATGCAACTATATAGCTGCAACACTAACCTCTAAAAGTTGGTCCCCAACTTCAATACGTCCATCTCGATCGATCAAGCTTCCTGGTCGCAGACCACAGACGAACACGCTCATTTGGTCTCGGTCACTGTTACCTGCCAGCAGTAGGCCCAGTGTCTGAGTTTTATTGGTTCCTGCATGTGGAGCCTTTCGGCGCAAAGGAATATCGACACTGAAAATGGTTCCTTGAAGTTCACTGTATTTGTTCATCAGGTACTCTATGAGGAAAAATTGAGATAACACGTTGCGCTATATATAGCTTGTGTTACACCAAGAGGAACATTCACAGGAAAAACGGTACAAAGAAAAATAAAGCGGGATTAATTAACAAGTACAGCTGTAATACCAAACTGAATAATTGGGATACAATTACGCTTTCTCATTAACCGTGTTAAGGCATCTTGCTCGAAATACTTTGTCCGTTTGTTGGCTTCCACCAGTATTCACCCTGGTTTCACTTGACATTCCACACCAAGTAATTGCCGAAGGAATGTAAAATCCTTAAAACGCTTATCTGCTAACAGGTTAAAAACCGCTTTCGAAGTATTACTGCTGAGGAGTTCGAAATCTCTTAACTTTAAAATATTTCTGCCCTTTTCATCAGATGTTATAATATAAACGGAGAGGGTGGTCGCATTTTTTATAGGAATGCATAGTTTGGTCTTCATAAGTTGCAAACATAGGAATGGAAACAAGTGTTTCATAATACTCGGATGATTTGTTAAAATACTGCTTTATCTTCGAGTTGGTATACTAACCATTTAATATGAGTTCTTGTATTTGGAGAATGATTGCATTGAACTGTCGAACGGCTCTACATAAATGCTTCACACAAGTTATACACATTTTACGTAGTAACGACAATCGTTTTAATGGGATACACACGGCAGCACTGCACTAAATTAACACAAAATGCGGCCAAACTATTTGATAATCACCTTTGATTTGTAAATGTCAGTATGAATAGAGAGAAACAATGCCGTCAAAAAAATCCTAAACGTGCTAAAAAGGAGAAAAGAATAGACTTATATCGCAATAGCGGCGATTCTTATAAAGAAAGGTAAATGTCTTTGCAGTAGTATTTATCACGTTAAGCTTAAATGGCTATCATGATGACTGGTACGCATGCTCGGTAAAAAATTTTCGCAAGTCTGAATTGAATCAAATTTTACATATCGGCAAACCGAATTACCCAGAAGGAGCATGGTAATGCAACTAATTAACGTCTTAATAACACACTGATATTATGTTTCCATAATAAGAGCCAAGAAATGCAAGAGGAATAATTTCAGGCTTCTGGGTGAGAAATATAATTAGAATCCGTAAAAGCTAAATATTGCATTTATTTGACTAAATTATAATCATTAGGAAACGGTTTAACATATCACAGCACTGTCAAGTGTGTATCCAAGAAACTACTGAATTAATATTACTGGAATGAGAGTTACATAACTTTAGTGCGACGATTAATTTATAAAATTGTTTAAAGTCAGAGAGTGCACATAATCGAAGGATGTACGTAAGTTCATGGTTGCAGACACTATTGGCAATTAGTATTGTGTGCATAATATTCCGTAAAAGCTTTTGTCATATTTTCAGGATCTTATAAAGGAAAATTTGGAACCACTAAGTAAAATAGCACAGATCAAACTACAGCATTGTAAAATTTTAATTTAAATTTTATGAAAAACGTCGGTTTTAATGGGTGTTCCGCCAAATATTGAGAAGCTGGAAGATTTAAGATAAACTAGGCACATTATTGGTAAAAGAAAATTGGTTGATTAGACATAACATTCCACTGCGCCATCTCTAATGTAAACTTCTCTTTAAGTTTAGAAGTTATTGACAGACGAAACAACATCAAATGGATTAGTTGTTTATTCTGTAATGTTAAATTAACTTGTGATTTGTGAGCAAACTTGCGGGACAAGAAGCCTCGTTTAGTATTCCTTGCTATATCTGCAACTGTGTACAAAATTTATATATATCAGTAAGATTGATGGTATCAACGTGATAATAAATTTCGAAGAAAAAATCGTGGTAGCACATATTGTACTAGAAAACAGTGAAATTGCACATATACTTAAAAGTGAATATTAAAGCTAGTGTTCACTAGAACTGTTCCATCAAAGTTCGTCAAACCCCTTCATTCAAACAGCATTTCTATTTTACTTCAGTGATCATTATTTCAGTGGTGCATTCAATTTTACTGAAAAATGTAAAATTTCTAATAGAAACTGAAAGCAATGTAACCGTGAACAAGTCTGTAAAACACTTCTAGTAGGTAAAACTATTCATTATGTATGTAAACCTATCCATCTATTAAATAACAATTAAGCTGTAATTTCCAAGTATAAGGAAATTGCTGGTTGCAAAATCCACACATTTTAAGCATGCGTAGAAGTCCTCAAATTTCGACTGTAAAAAAGCTTCAAGAAATGTACTTTAGTAACAATCGAGTGATTACACCAGGGTTCAGAGTTTACAGCTACGTATGCCTCATGATAAAAAATTTAGGGACGCTTGAGCGGACTTTCATAAGGCCGCAGAACTTTAAGGTCAACATTTCGTTAGGCTGAGACATATTCAGTAGACACTTCTTAAAGTCCATTCATGTTAACGTTTTATTATCTAAATAGGAGAATATTTAGCATTTCCGTTGTTAACTGCGATTCTAGTAAACTGACCAATTCACTGCAACGTTTTTGCAGCGTTTAAGCAAATTGAAAAGTATACACCGTCTTCAATCTTGTAAACTTTCTACATTTCCAGATAACTGATCACAAGTTGTTGAGCAGAATACTTTAGACTTTCATCCATGCAACGGAGTAAAAATTTATTAACGATTTTGTCACAACATGTTTAGCTTGACTGCAAATTTCATGCTCAAAAGCAGTCTGTCTAAAACAATATCAAATAGTTGTGTTTTGTACTTGAGATTTGTATAGATTAAAAAGGAATCGGTGATCCGGGAAATTTTTTGGATAAGCCGTAGCTCAGACTAATGTTGCATAAATGTTAAGTCTACGGTTGATATCATGATATCGAGTTTGGCAAATTTGTAACATCTGATTCACAGATATCGCCACAGCAGATGGCGAATTTTGGTTAGCTCGTTCAAATTGTAAATCGTCCATTTCCACCGGAACGTTTCCAATTTTTTTCCTCAGCGCAGTCCTGATTTAGTTTTAGCAACCAACATTTCTATTATTCTTGCAATGAAAATAGGGACAGATATTTATTTAGCATGTCTATTACAGCGTTCAAGTTGATGGACTATTTGGGCTTGGGTACCATGACAATTGACTTCAGGAATGTTACAGTTAATGTACGTCAATAATGGCGAAAACACAAGGTGAATCTCGAGCACCGCAATCAAAAAAACTAGTGCAGTAGATGCAGGGATATATGTGGCAGTGAAAGCAATTTTGAGCTGGAAATGGCTATGCATCAACGGTTAGTACCTCAAAAATTGTGGATTCTATTTTTTAACTAAGCACACCGTAACCTATACGGTGTAGGATATATCTATTAAAACTTGGCAAAATTAGCGTTCCAGACAACGGCCTTATTCACACCGACCCCATTTTTCTCTAACAACTATGCTAAACGATGGTACTGAATATTCCATTTGTAGAATTAACCATTAATTCTAGGTAACACAAGTTCCTCATCCTTGGGAGTTACGCTGCATACGATTCACTAACGGTGTGCTTAGGTTCTGAGTCACTTTATTTCGGATGGTGGGTTTGCTATATTGTTTTAATACTTAGTTATTAAATTATCTTAACGTCTGCCGCGTAAAACTTAAATGACTTGCGCATCGCTTAAGCTAATTGTATATAAATTTTTTACTTTTCGTGTTCGTGAATTTGGTAAAAAATGGTTTATGAGTTTGAACTTAGCGCGTGCCTACCTCTCCATTACCTACCACATCTTATATACTGAATCCAGGGGACGGTAAGTCGTTGCGGAAGAGTACGCGTTTTACTGATGTGGCAACCATTTTATGCTCGAAGATGGGTTCTATGAATATATCTTGCCTGCTGATCGAACTACGATTAAGCCACCACCTTGTGTGCAATCGATTCCCCAAATTGAGGATGCTTGTGTTTACCTGTGAAGGAGTGTAGGCCGGTTTGTTTGATGAAACCTGGCCCCCCGACCACATGCCTCCCGGTCTTATTCCTGCGGGTTTACACTGGACATGCGGTGGGTGGTTGGAGCTGAGGTTCTTGCAGCGGAAGACACCCATGGTCCCTCTCTAAGCGCAGGCGTTCTGTGGCAGTTCTATTGGATGCCACAGTGACAGACAACTCCAGAACCGGATGCCGAAAACCACATAGATTGGAGAACACCTTTACCTTGGAAACGAATACGAGATCCCCGCTTGATTCTGCAACAATCGGAGTAGTCCAATAACTGCTTCATACTAATGATGCTATATTTTATTCAGCCAACACAACATTTCGTTTAACCGTAAGTAAGGCACTCCTAAAATGATTCGCTGATTTCATAGGTAATGCTAAACTGATCAAACATTGTTGACGGATGTATCGACTACCAGCACAATGGATGAGAGTAAATCATGCTTCAACACTCGCCAATGAATCTTTTGGCTGTTAATGTTGGTTAGGAAGCTTTATAAGCAAAGTGTACTAACGGCAGCAGCAAAATTTTGTATTTTAATAAGCAGCTTTATATTTATAACATTTCTCTAAATTAACGACCACAAATTTTTCAATTCAATATCATATATATACATATATATATATATATTAGGGGATACCCAATCCACAAACCGAAATCTTAAACAATCTCCCTAGCAACGATCGTAACATGATCCGACTCAGCTTCCAAATCATGTTGGTCACTAAACTTGCCTCTACAATGCAGGTTGTAACCTATAAGATATCTTGGGAATGCTTTCAACAATTCATTCATTTCTCTGACTAGGATGTATATTTCCTCGCTAGTAGTGTGTACACTGCAATGGAGCAGTTCTATAAACAAATCTGTCATGCTATAGCCGGCCTTGCTCCACCAGGTATTCATACCCCTCATATCTCCAATGCTTCCATTGAGCACTTAATCAGCAAGAAAAGCAGAAACTTAGCTGCAAGATACAAAAAGAGCCATGACTTTTCAATTGTTTTACAAACGCATTAAGTGACCACTAGAGTCAAACATGCGCAATTAACATGACGAAAAGATGGAG